CAGTGGTGAGAAGAAACGCGATAATGAAACAACAGCAACTGAGCGAAAACCAATGGTCCCACTCATCCACCAGTAGCACTGGTAGGGCGGTCCCGCTGAAAAAAAAAAACGATGCAACCTCACGTAACTTACGCTTCATCACGTGCCGATCACGTAAAACCCCCCCGACCGTTGTACTGAGCAGCAGCCTACACCCACATTACTCAGACAGCACTCAAAACCAACCCACCAAAGCCACGTATAAAAATATTACGTGTAACATCATCGCAAATCCCTCTTATCCACACCATTATGGTTCCTTTGCATACCTCTTCTGGTACTCGGTGGCATACAGAATTATACGGGTTTTGAAATACATGAAAAATATGCATTTCTAGTATGTATTCGTAGTCCAGTAAAACTTATGGAGGGGGGGGGGGAATGAATTACAGTGTAAAAGGCAATGCAGTTGTCAGAAATGCGTATTCTACTTAGGTAAAATCTGTACAGTATTTATATGGTTCGTATTTTTCGCGTGCAAAATGCACGTGTGGGCTTGCTTATGTGTGGACTTCACATAGTTTCATGCCTATTCTTGGGTTTTTCAAAGGGTTTCTTAATTGCCAGTCTGCTGGCGATCCTGACATTCGTTTTGTCTCCTCAACAGATTACACTCTCAACAGTTTTCCAGGCCAGAGCACTTTAGTGCCACATAAATGTCCAAAGCATGTCGGATGGGAGGCTGTACAGATGATTCCCATTCCTAGCAGCACGCAAACTTCGGTCAGTGTTTACAGCTAAGGGATGAAACATACAGACAGACTGCATCCTGACATGTCTTCATACACATGACACTTAGTGCAGTGTGTTATTTCTTATTCCACTATTTCTTGATTTGCAGTACCGATCATCGCTGAGCTGGATAGTCTCTTCTGGAGACAACGAGAATCATCATCATCAGCAGCAACAGCAGGCTGACCACCAGGTGATGCAACATTGGTTAGGGCAACTGGGAAAGTCCCTATATCTGAGGGACCGGACTACGAATTCGAGCTAACCAAGTACTTGAACGTAGTTCAGCATACTTCCTCCACTACTTGGGCATAGGCGGATCCGGGGAGGGAGGAGGATGGGCCTTCCGTCCCCAGTGGCACAGGTAGCAGTGCTACAGAAGTTTGGGTCTAAAGCTAAAACTGAAGAAAACCCTCCTCGGCATCCCCCCAGTCGCCCCCTGCAGGAATCCGTCCTGGATCCGCCCATGTACTTGAGTGACGACGATTCTGCATGCGACGAGATGGCTTGCTGCCGCCTTCTTTCGGCACTTTTGGTGTTGAGTAACGCGTACTTGCGCTCTGTGGCTGTAAGCCGTTGTGGATCGTCTGCTCCCCCCGTGCTGCACTTGAGAGCAGCTGCTATTTATATGTGCTTGCTTTGGAGGAGGACGAGGAGGATGCTGAGGCTCGTGCTGCTCATCGTCATCATTAGCAGCAGCAGCGGCAGCTGCTCCATCTGCTGTGCTTCTTCAGCTGCCTCATCGCCCTGCTGCACCCCACCGTTCTCTTTAAAATTCCTTTATTTCCTGGCTCTTTGACACTCACACCCACTTTGGGCTAATAGCCGAGCGAAATCGCCACACGTAGCTTCCGCGAGAAAGAAAACGACCACTCGCAGGCAGCCTCCAAGGAGAT